CCTTGGCTTGCCTGGGCGCCCCTCGACTGTGGGGAGCCCGGGCAAGCCGGCCCTTGGACAGGCCAGGGAAGGTCTCCCCGATCCCGCCTGAACGCCTTGGAGTCGCCGGGGGGGTCGCTCTCCAGGCCTTCCCTCTGTAGCCGCGAATGCAGAGGTTTTGGCTATAGTGGGCATGGCCAACTCTGAAGCCAGCCGGAACTCCATTCCTGTGCGTTCCTGCCCAAAAATAGCCCTGGAGTCCATGCTCCTAACCACGACATCAAAGTGGCTCTCCAACCATGAATGGATTTTCCAGAGTATTGCATTTACATGTAGCAAAGTTGCACATGCATGGACAAAATACGTGTGTTCCCTTGTTCTCAAGAAATACCTGCACATAGGTGGGCTGCAGGCAGCACACTCCCATTACAAGTCATTGGTATACCAAAACTGAACATCTGAAGTGAGGTATAGTGCCAAACAGATATCTTTGGTGATGGGGTTCCATAGTCAGGGGTGCAATGATAGAAAAGGCATTCTCTCCGGAAGACACTTTTGACAGAGTAAAAAATCCTGTGGGGGCGGTGGCCAGTTCCTGGGGGCTAGACACCACCCCACAGGATCTTTTCCCCTCTGTCACAACAGCCATCTTAACTTCTGAAGGCAAGGACACCTAGAGAAGGCCTCTGGTGATTTTGACTGATGGACATACTTATAAGAGGTAAACCTTCAGATACCCTCATTCCAGACCATTAGAGTTTTAAAAGACCTCATCAGCACTTGAGCTGAGAAACAAACTGAAAGCCAGTGCAGATTTTTGATAACCAGCAAAATATTTTGACTGGTAAGTCCCTGTGAATAAGATGGCTGCCAGCTGGATATTCTAAAGACTTTGCAGAGAGAGTCCCAGCATAAAGTCCTGTGTACAGTCTATCCTAGATGTTATTAAAGCATAGGTAACTGTGGCTACTCCTGCCAACCTAGCAGTTCGAAAGCAAGAAATTGCAAGTAGATAAATAGGTACCACTTCGGTGGGAAGGTAACAGCGTTCCGTGCACCTTGGTGTTTAGTCATGCTGGCCACATGACCACAGAAATGTCTTCGGACAGCGCTGGCTCTTCGGCTTTGAAACGGAGATGAGCACCGCAACCCTAGAGTCGGACTCGACTGGGTTTCGAGCAAGGGAACCTTTACCTTTACCTTAACTGTGGCTACAGCATCCTTTTTGAGGAGGGGCCACAGCTGGGATACTGACCTAAATTGATGGAAGGCATGCTGGACTACAGAATCTCTTGCCCATTCATAAGCAATCTGGACTCTGACACTCCTTCCCCACCCCACCCCAAAAAAGGAAAAACGTGATATTTTATGGTAATGGAAGCTCATTTAGCCTCAGTTCAGCACCATCTCTGTGGTTCAGCATTTGTAAGGTGATGC